CCCCCCCCCCCTTTTAAAGGCCTTAAGAACAAATATTTACTGTAATCAACAGCAAGAGACTACTTTTTTATCTTGTTTAAATTGAGGCATAAATAACACATAAATATAATAATTTTGCTACATCTCTTGTCTCGATTCTTTAATTTAAAGTTTAATTTAATATATCGTCAGGACCTCCAGACACAGTGAGACACAAAACCATTCAACAACATTGAAACTTACTTTACCCGTGATTCTAAACACATACATCAATGCTGTCGGCTGAGTTTAAATGAATCCCTAAAAATCCGAAAAAAGGTTGCTCCTAGTTTCGCTTGTAGTGACGTCTGACCCTGTGCCGACCAACAGGAACGTCTGGCTCCACATGAGGGGATCCGGCCAATGAGAGCCATCTTCACCAAAGACGGAAACATCTTCACAACAGGGTTCACCAGGATGAGCCAGAGAGAGCTCGGACTCTGGGACCCGGTAACAAACAAATACATCTAACATAAGCTCATCTACAGTATATCAAAAGGAGAAGACATTTACAATCACTCACATGCATGTACACAGCACTTTTTCTTCATTGTTTTTGCTCTCCACAGACAAATTTTGAGGAGCCAATCGCACTGTTGGAGTTGGACACAAGTAATGGAGTGTTGTTACCGTATTATGATGCAGATGCGAGCATGGTCTACCTCTGTGGAAAGGTAAAGACACATTTGATTTACTTGTCCATAAATGCTTCATAAATGCAGATTGATTGTACTCGCAGCCCTATCAATGATACATTTTTGACTAGGTGTGTTTTCTGTGTTTGTGTGTAGGGGGACAGCAGTATCCGTTACTTTGAGATCACAGATGAGCCGCCATTTGTTCACTACCTCAGCACCTTCAGCAGTAAGGAGCCCCAGAGAGGGATGGGCTTCATGCCCAAGAGAGGTGTGGACGTCACCAAATGTGAGATCGCTAGGTAAGACACTGATGGTTCACTACAATACAGATGTTGCATGAGAGAGGTGAAGCTTAAAGTGCTCACTATGTTTCCTCTTAACAGTAAATGTTTACGTTATTGCAGTGTTTAGGATAAGTTAGAACGTTTGACTATCAAGTGACTTACACTCTCATCATCACTGAACTGAGACCATGTTCTCACAGTGCATGACACCATCTTAAACGTTTCACATTTAAAATTAAAATCATGTGTGACCACAGCTGATGCTTCTCTTTTCTCTCTTCACTTGTCCTCTTAGGTTATTCAAGCTCCTGGACAAGAAGTGTGAGCCCATCACAATGACAGTGCCCAGAAAAGTAAGCCTGATTATTCTCTACACGTTTCTGACTTTTATCAGTGCTGCAGGAACCTAGTACATACAATAGAATAGAATATTGTTCTTTCACTCCGCAAGTACTATTTTTTATTCAAAAGCAATAGTAACTAGTTACTATTTAAACATTTCATCCTTCCTATTCTTTTACAAAATAATATAGGGTTTTCACTTCTTTAATAGTGTGGTATTTCTACACTGTCCTTTTAAATAATTCAAAACCTGATCATGAAGTTTTATTTATTTTTTGTTTTAGTCGGTAGTCTTTCCCTCTCTGCTCTGCTTTCATGTTCTTTCCACTCATCCTTTAAGTACACAAATAGATACATCTTTTTTTATTAACCCTGCAAAAGCAACTACTGTATATACTGTACATTTAAAAAAACAAAAACACCCACATAGCCAACTGTCTTTTATTTTTTGACCTCTCCACCTCTCTTCCAGTCGGACCTCTTCCAGGACGACCTGTACCCGGACACAGCGGGGCCCGAGCCCGCCATGGAGCCTGAGGAGTGGCTGAACGGCCGCGACGAAGACCCCATCCTAGTGTCCCTGAGGGGCGGGTATGTGGCGCACAAGAGCCGGGAGTTCAAAGTGTCAAAGAAGAACGTGCTGGACTCCAGACCAACCACCCGACGCAGCGTGTCCACTTTGGACACCAACAGTCTGCCGGTAAGTTGTGGCATTCGCTAAAGTACCACATAGAGAATAACCTGTATGTAAATAGAATATTCAATTCATGTATTGTTTCAAACAAAGGGCCAATTTGGGATTTTAATGCAACATTTTTCATGTTACTGTTGACATACTATACTATGTATGACTTATTTTCTTTCATATTTTTCGAAATACTATACTATGACTTCTTTTTCAGATATACTGTAAAAATACTTTTTCCATTATATTTTTTGACAAATTTGGAGCGCCACCTTCACCAAGGCGATCAAATATATATACACTGCATATATATATATAAAAGTGTACATTACTTGTGTATTCTAATCTGTGTTCATTTAAGCTTTACTGCTTTGATCTGTAGCTTCATGTTGCACAGTTTTGCGATTCACTCTAGCTTTGCAACCGTTACCTGAATGCACCATTCCTCCTGAACATCTGCCTCCCTGTTTAACATGTTTTCTGTTTATCTCTCCTCTATTCATACCTGCCCACAACCTTTTCCCCTAAAGCTCCCTTCTTTGTTTTGGTTTATTTCTCCTAGTTGCTCACTGTCCTTGACCTATTTTTCCTCTCTTTTTCTTTGTCCCAAATTCTCCGCTCCCCGTCACTGTCTTTATTCCTTCCTTCTTCCCTTTTTTCTTCTCTTCTTTCTCTGGCCGTCCAGCCTGAGTTGCTTGGGAGGTTGTTGGAGGAGCTGCAGAATCTGAAGGCCACAGTTTTGTCTCAGGAGAAGAGAATCTCTGACTTGGAGAATAAGCTTTCCCAGTTCACTAATGGCACTGACTGACGCGAAACATGCGTCTGAAGAACTGGTCTACATCTCAAAATATGTATCTCTACAACTATTATAGAAATACATTTCCCTTGTTTTTTTTCAAGGAACCAGTCTCCTAAATACTCCAACAGTGTAGCTCCTTTAAAAAAGGTACCATTTTGTAAAAATATGAATGTGGACAATGTCCATGCAAATAGACAGTCAAACTAATTTGAACAAATAACATCCATAATGTGTAATTGTTTGGCAGTTTTTCTACATAATCCTCATTCCAGCTCTAACACAATATACCTTTACTGCTATGGCAAAAATATTTTTAATATATAAGTCAAGAATGAGAAGAGTATAAAAAGGGGAGTGAGGGAGCTGCAGGTTAGAGGGGCGTGTGCACGTTGGGTTGAGGGTCTGAATGAAGTCAGCATTGTGAACACTTTTAAACAATACTGTCACACCGTAAAAATCAAATGCACCAAAAAGACTTCCTGCTTGGAATGGTTTGGCTTTTGGTAAGTTGCATTGACAAACTAACATCACGCTAAACAAATCGAAATGCTTCAGTAAGAGACAATCACCGACTAGTTTATTTAGACTCTTTGAAAACTCTTCAAAATGTAAATAGTGATAAAAGGAAACGGGAGAAAAAATGTTGAACGTGTAGCAAATTGTGAAAAGCCAAATGTTGTGTGTTCTGTAAAGCATTATACAATAGACACATTATGACAACAATAAAAATCAGTGTTTTTTAAATATTTCTGCCTCTTCAGTTTGTTGTTTCAACATTTTCAATCAAACAATCCTGATAAGAAATGACAACCTGCCTTTCAGAAGTGGGGACACTTTCCAGTCCATCTTTATATGACAGTCTGCATGTAGACTCTTTTTTCCAGTGAGCCTCTCTCTTCAGTTGTAGTGTTATGATTGGGTCATAAACAGAAAGACATGCATTCACTGTACAGAAGGCAGAAAACAGGCACCAGGATTTACAACAGCAGTCATAAGCCTCAGCAACCAGCGAAACACGGCATGATATATCCACAAAATCAGTTTGAGGGAAGCTTCATTACTTTTTTTGCCACAAGGGCGCAGATCAAATCCAAAAAAAGCTGAGCCCTGACATAAACACGTTAGCTTTACAAAAAAAGATAGTGAATTATGAATTATGTTAAATACTGAAGCACATTATTTCTGAATGCAGCCCAAAAAGTATCAAGAATGAAACCAGGGTATATGCAGGAATCCTGAAGTCAGATGTAAGACCTTTTAAGACCTTTTTTAAGACCCTTTCCATACATTTTAAGACCTCATCGCCACTTTGAGTTCTAACCGGTTACATTGGCCACAAACTTTACCTCACATTTACTATTACAGTATTGATTGTCCTTCCTCCTTATCTTCCAACCATTTGGACGCAAACTTGCATTTCCCAATAACGATGTTGTTTAACAACCGGCGTAAACTGACCTTCGCGCGCTATCAAGCTGTGAGCGTGCGATGTCCTGTTCAGATGACGTCAAATCCAACGGGATGCATCACACTACACACACCTACGCAATGATTACATTCAGGCAACTGTAGAATACAACCTCTTTGGACAATTTATATACTTATGGAAAACAAGCTACAAAATGTAATACCTTGGAAAATGCTGTTTAATAGCCTTAATTTNTATATATATATATATATATGTTAAAAGATTTAATTAAGGAGAAAAGAGTAAAGTTTCCCTTTTCATCAGATGATTATATATATCCCTTTACTGTGACAAACACTGCACATACTGTACAGTACATCATTTTGCAAAATAAAGCTCAAACATACAGGTTATGTAACAATATGAAATGAACACATTCTTTTGAGTGGAGGAGGACTTTAGAAATAGATGAATCGATAAATTACACGGTGTACCATTTGAAAATGAATACTGGCCCAGTATGTAGGTGCTTTAAAGGAAGGATAAACCTTGAAAACAAGTAACATCAGGAGGAACAACAGAAAAGGGCTGCAGTTATTCTGTGTACATCACCGAGCTGAATATATATGTTCACTAGAGCCGTGTTCAAAAAGAACATGTTGCCGAACGTTGGTTTAAAAAAAGGATGTTCTGATTTGCTTGACAAAGAGCTAGTTACAAAACACATGATTCATAGGCAATGTTCTGCTGCCACGTCGATGAGTAATTACGGTTCTGCTTTCATAAGTAGAACATGCATAATGAATCCTGCATTAGTTTGGTGCGTGCAACATTGTGCTCAAATGTTGAGAAAGCATACACACCTGTACCGTTGGTCGATGGACGGGGTTTAGATTAAAGGAAGCACAGATGGAGCACAGCGGTCTCTCTGCGGAGTAAATATATAACTCTCACACAGATATCATTACCGCAACAAATTCACTAACAAGACTGATTTAGACTGAACCAATTATTGATGAATCACCCTCTATTAGAGAACAGAAAGCGAGAGCGCGGATGCATCAGATGAGCTTCTTCCCCCTAAAATTGTATAACGAGACATGATTGTGTGACAAATGTTGTGCATGTAGGTGGCTGCTGGTAACCTCTACTTTGAATTGAATGCATCATGCATGGTTTCAAAAGCCCATCGGGATGTACAGACTGCACCTTCCCACTATTCAATCATCCAAATCAGCAGGAAACGTGAACAAAATGAAATGGGGCTTTGTACTTTGTAATCATCTGTGTCACAAAGGGTCTGTATTGAGCTATGCTGGGAAGCAGATCAACACTTTAAGAAGAATCTATAGGACGTTCTCCAACTGTTTGGCATTCTGCATCATGAACAGGATCAAGGGAGCTCAGGCATCTGACAGCGGTCCACATCACAGCCGCTCTCTCAATCCACTTCTCATTGATGGTGGCAGTCGGGGGGAAGCACTCTGTCTTCATCTACACAAAGCTCTGCTGGATTTCCTTCTGATTTCATGATGATTACTTTTATGCAAAGTCTTTTATGGCTTCATTACACTGGTTTATCAAGGTGGTCCAACTTCGCCATTTTGTTCTCGTACCAGAGATAATAGGATACTTTCTCTAAGTGTTCAGGTCTCTTTAACCAGAAAGGCTACCACAGGGGCAACTTTTTCAAATTTCAGAAATGTGGAGGCTGCACTCCAACAAAGGAAATAACTTTGGCTTTGACTCAAAAGGATGTGCACATGGGGGGCTGCTGTCATGCCACTCATGCATAAGCAGCAGTGGCCTTTTCCAAAGTGCTGTAGGATGCTGATGGGATGTTTGAAGGCCCTTTGACATCTTCTGCTTTGCAAGTTGTATTTTTCTTTTGCTGTGAATCTCTTCCTGCATGCTACTCAACTGTTAAATGTTTCAACCATCAAAAACTTTGAAGGAATTTTGAAAGGAAATAGTGCTGTGCAAAAACATCTAGTGGTGTATCAGTGAAAAGTTGAGGGTGGCTCTCAGGACTCTCACTGTCTCTGGTTTCTGTAAAGCTCTAAGAGAGTTGCTCTCATCCATCTGAACTGACCTACATATTTAGACCTAATGCAACCCCACTGCAGTGGCATTCACAGCCTGCTTTTTAATTACAAAGAAACAGCATTTGTAACATATGTCTTGAAGTTTTTGAAGATTTGAGTCCTTGTTGATTTGGCCATGCTTGTGTTTAAACACGATAAAAACAAATGTGGTTTAACACGACAACCATTTTTGAGCAGTTACAGATACAACAGAAGTAGAGCAACTGGAGTATCTGCGTATATTTATGTTCATATTGGAATATTTAAAGAAGGACATTAATTACCACGACATTTCATTCTTTAACACTTCAGGCAATGTAAAACCATCTTTTCAGACAGTCTCACTTTGTTTTAACCTTCTTCAAAAGATATGACATCACTTCTTGACAACCTCATATCGCTGAGTGCCTATCCTCTGAAGTGACAGATCAAAACATGAAAGGGAAGCTGTTTTTGTTGCACAACATGAATATAACTTTGCAAGTTCAGCGTCTGGAAACATTTGCTCATGAATGTTAGAGTAGTCTAAGCCTGAGTTGAATACGAAATTTGATAAAAATGTGTTGATGGCCCGGAGAATCTGTGCCTCATGCACTGCTTGGTCTGAGAATAAAATGCTTACATTTAAACTACTGTGCAGCAGCTGCTTCTAACAATTGTGTTGCAAACATATTAAGATTATTTTGTGTACCCTGACTATGTTAAATGGGATCTTCCCTGATCTACAATTGCCCACTTTGCACTGTCCACTTCAGGCTTTGTGCTTCATAGCTTTCAATTTTTCCAGCAGATGGAACTCTTTTTGTGTGATGTAAAGGTCATTATGAAATTGTCTGAAACCCTCAGATGGGTTTGCCCTTGTGTCTAACCCTCGAGTGCTGAAAGATCTTTCATCATTTTTATCACAACATCAAAGGGTTTTCTTCACAATGTTTGCAATATGCTTTTTATTATTTTTCTAACTAAAACCATGAGTCATTTAAACTGCAAATGTATTATCTGATACATTTGATATCATCTAGTTGAGTTTATTAAAGCAAAGTAAAACTCCCTGTCACCTCAGTTAGGGCTTTAAAGAACAAGTGCAGAGTTAAGATATTTATGAGCTCTTAATATTTTATTGTTTTTCAGCAGACCTGTCTTAACTGTTAAAAACTTTATCCTGAAACTTACTGTAACACCTCCCACACTTCAACCAACCAGCCTGCACTGTTTGTGCCTGACATTTATCTTCCTTAGCAGAGAAAGGCTCATACATTCATAGTTCTTTTTTGCCTAAACAAATTGTTTACCACATACATCTACCAATTTGCTTTTAAGTTGACCAATTCCACATCTGTGAACATGTTGAACTGAAAGCTTGTGTTAAATGGGATTAGATTGGGTGCTATGTTTAACTTTGAAATTGGATTAGCTGAATTCAAGTGTGTATATGAAGCTGTAGTTAAGGAGAGTTTCATAGCTAACATGTTTAAAAACTTTTGGGAAATGGGTCTGTGTTTACTTGAGATGCAGATTGCTTGAGGCCATGCATGACACTAAAAGTTTGGGGTGGAGGGCTGCTCAAATCAAGGCTGACTTTGCAATTTCTCGCAATTTCCTTTTGCAGTTTTCTTCTGAGCAGTGCTGGGGGCTGTGTGTGACTCAGGTAGAGATCACGACCGTATTGGGCATCCTCTCACGTCCTCTGCAACCAGTCGGGCGCAGTCAGTGGCTGAGATCTCACAGATTTGAGAACAGGAGAGGTTTGTGCTACAGATGTGAAAGCTGACAGGGATGGAGAAGATGAAGGAGAGGGGCGTTTGGCTCCAGGAACTGTGTCTGTTTTGCTGTGTAGGAAATCCCGACATGAGTTATATTTGTCAGCTGTAATAGAAAAGGATTTCCAGAGTGTGGTTTGCTGATGTACAGGACTGGAAAGAGCTGCCACTGCTGTCGGGATCTTATATATATTCCTGAAGTCACAGGACCTGTGCAACACATTAGGGAAGGTAGCTGTTTCCATCAAGTACACTGATGAGGTGAATCCAGGCAAAAAGTCATTATCTCTTATGGAGTCCCCTTTATTAAATATCAATCACAAAGTGAAACAGAACATGTAAACAGGCTGACAAACAGAGGCTGATGAGAAACACTAAAACGCTTATGATAATTAAAATGTGACTGCAGCTGGAAATCAGGAAAATGTCCCTTATGTTTTGTACTTTCAATTTAGTTGCTCCTCAGTGGAGAGAAAACTGTAATCGTCAGTCAT